TCTGCAATCTACAAAACGTCACTGAATCGCGTCAACAAGCCCTATTCACAGCTTCAAGAATGAGCTCGCAGTTGGAACCTGAATTACTCTAGCCATTCTAGGAGCGGTGCTGAAATGTGGAGAAAAAGTTCTGCATTGTGCAGCAAAATTCATTCACTAATCTGGGAGGCAAAAAGTTTCCCCATTCCGATGCAGTCGTGTTGTTTTTAAAACCTAAACAGGCTCTTATTTTATCGAGAATGAAGACAAAACTACTTGAACTGGGTTGCGGTGAGCTGCATTCATAATTATCGTCTGCGTTTGAGCGTTTTGTGCAAAAAGTAAAATTAGCTATCAACTTAGCGTTTTTAATCTTTTCAGCGGAATGCTAGCATTGTATTATTTCTACAAATAATCCCCTGTTGTACTATTTCGAGAAATAATGCTGCAATTACTACCGAGCTTTCTTGTTAAGCAGACTCGAACTGAATACGTATGACGAAAACTCAATAGATTTCTATTTAATCGAAAATGCAAGCAAAAGTTCTCGTAACAAACACAGTCGCTACTCGCACTTACTTCACAAACGCAATTTTGACGACCTAAGACCCAGCTACCACTATGTTGTACAGTTGTCTTTTGTCTTTTGTCTACACCATTCGCGTGAAGTATGTCGTAGTGTGTGCATCCAGATTTATTTACGGCTCCTTTGGATTACGGTGTATGATTTCTCGCCTACTGAAGTTACCGTACTGTGTCGATCCGCCATATGCGAAAAGGAGAGTATGGGCATCGAGCTCTCATTCTAGGAGAAACGCCAGAGTTTCTAGCGCTGGGAGCGTGTATCGATCTGCTGTTCTGAGCGAATGGCAATCGTTTCGGAAGGATAGTATAAGTTTCGATCGGGCTCAAAACGCAGGGAATACCCAAAGCACCAAATCGGTACCTACACTTTCCTTTGGTGCTCGAAATACCGTCTAAAAATATGAATATAGCTTCAATTCAACTAGCGAACAGGGCTACGAATTGCTCAAGAAGCTTCGAAAATACAATACGATTGAACGGATAAAAAAAACCACCATTGAGAATACTTCCGTAAAAGGCGTTGGTTAGCAAATCTCCTTCAAACTTGTAAAGCTGATCTTCAAGAAGGCTCAGCACTTCCTGTAATGACGCGAAATGACCTGGTATACCACCAGATTTGATACTTTCTTTGAATAAAGTTTTCTTGATATAATCAATATACAATGCAGATTTCGGCTGAGAAACTTATTTATCTGTGTCAGAGTACGTTCATTCTTTGCGCCAGCCTTTGAGCGTCTGTAACTGCTCTGAGCGTTTTGAGCGAACGGAAGTGTAGGCATCGATCTAACATTTTGATCGCCTGCATTTCGAGCGCTCACCAGAGATCTGAGCGACCAAGGTAGCATAGGCGTCTATTATCGCTGAAATCGCGCTCAGCACGCTGGATCATTACCTATAGTTTCCTGATTGATCAACACGCTCACAGACACTCAAAACGCTGCCGCAAAGTATGAATGCACCCTTGAGTGGCACCTGTCTGGAGTCAACGGCGCATTAATGTTCGAGCCGATCCAGAAATGTTAGGCAATGTGGAGCAAGCGAACTGCGTTCATGCTTTGCGACAATGCAGGGGGATAGGAGGCGGAAGTCGGGAGAAAGCGCGCCAAAGAAGACATGGAAGTTGATCGACCCGATTGCCAGAGGGTGAAAAATTTCAAGCTGACCTTTCGCATGTTACAGGGCTTTCTTCCTCCATACTTGGACAGAAGTCTGCAATGGTTTTGAATGGTTACATTGAAGTGCTCTGGTATCTTTAGCTTGCACTGGCCTATATCACCGGATACCATTCATAATTTCTACACGCGGAAATGTTGAAATATTTAAAACAATCAAAAATAATTAGGGTCAAAAAACTCCAATTAAAGTATGGCAGATACACGGAACCAATAGAACATGCCTGAACTTCCGCCTTCTTAGCTACCAAGTTCTCTAGCTTTCCAGATGACGATTGCACGGGACCTTCAGATTCTTGAACTGAGACGACATCTTCTGGCATTTCTAGAAAAAATAATCAAGAAAAGGTACCTACAGTAGCACAGAGAGGGACTGACCGTAAAACCACTATGAACGACCAACAGTGGTAACTAAAATAGACGCCCTCCTGCGGCCGACACCTATTTCTTCCCATTCAGGGTGATCTATGCAGGACCACAGTTCCCCTTCTATACTGGTTACAAGACATCTGTCAACCGGATGCTCTCTCGCTGTGAGGGTCCAGAGGTGTTTTCTCATCGCATCTTCTGTTCGAGCATTTAGAGGAAGGAAAATAATGAAGGAAGGATGAAAAAGGAAGGAAGAAAAAGAAGGAAGGAGGAAGGAAAAAGAAGGAGGAGGAAGGTTCCGCGGTTGACAGATATCCTGAGACCTTCTATACTTACAGCAGCCACTAGTTAATCTTCTGGAAACCATCGTTAGAGTTCGTTCATACTTCACGACAGCGTTTCGAGCGTCTACCAGCATTCTTAGCATTTTCAGCGACTAGGAAAATACAAGTATGGATCCAGCGTTTTGAGCGTAGGTCAGCGTTTCGAACGATAATCGAAACTCTCTTAGTTGCTCAGAATGTTGCTGGACGCTCAAAACACTAGAACGATAACTATGCTTCCTAGTCACTGACGCAAAGTATGAACGTACTGTTGTTGTCGTGTCAAAAAGTGGAGGCAAAAAGTGGATTACATGATTAGAAGCGGAGTGAGAATGACCCAATTCACTAACATGGCGCCCGGGGACGGCACTGTAATAGTAGTAATCATTGTGTCTGATGTTACTTATCTCTGAATAAAATAACTCCAAAAAGGATTGCGGCGTTTAGCGCTGGGAGCGAGACCACCCAGCCGCCTCAGTCTGTCCTTTCTCTGATCAAGGACCGATCAAGGGTTGGGCTCAGACCGCAGACGAGTATAGTTGTCGACGAATAGTTTCGC